TGTCTTATCACGGTAAAATATTAATGTCATTTTGAAGTTATTAACTTAGAATTCATATGTGCAGACGTATACACTTTTAAAAAAATATACAGTAGCACATTCATTGTAAATACTTGTATTTATTATTAGCATGCTGATGAACGCTGCAACAAATTATTAAGTAAATAGGATTATTTATGAAGTTAAATTATATTTTTTTAATAACGGAGGTTGGATTTGAACTCGCGAGCTCTGGTCTGCTGGGGCCGCCTTGTGGTGACGTCTGATCATTGAACTCTGTGCTTATTGTGAGCCCCCTGGTGTCTTATCACGGTAAAATATTACTGTCATAATGAAATGATTAACTTAGAATTCATATGTGGTGAGTTATACACTTTTTTTGTATACCTCCTTTGCCAGTACCAAAATATGAGAATAGGGTTTCCCCTTTTTTTCTGGCAACAAAACAGGTGTTAAAATGTTAAAACACCAAACTAAAACCTTTGACAAGGAATCATGTCTGCATTAACCACAATACTTGTGGTCAGAATGCAAACAAATAACACTGATAATATGATGCATTGTCTTTGAAACTGATTGGCCCACACCAGAGACAGCTTTCTTTCGAGCCTCGTCTCAAACGGTGTTAGACCAGAGGACGCCAAAAGGCGAACAGCACAAAGACAATGCCACTATCAGGGTAATGAGGGCTCGGGGTGAGCAGCTACATCATGGGATCTCCTTTGCCAGTGCCAAAATATAAGAATAGGTTTTTCCCTTTTTTCTGACAACAAAACAGTTGTGTTAAGATGTTATTCGGAGCACAAGTATATGTGGTTAATGCAGACATGATTCCCTGTAAAAGGTTTCAGTTTGGTGTTTTAACATCTTAACACCTGATTTAAAGCTTTCGTGACTGCAGTAATTCATATTCTTAGCTCTTTCGGTAAAGTCACGTTGAAGGGAAACAACGTGACTTTACCGAAAGAGCTAAGAATATCTTAAGACCTGTTTTGTTGCCAGAAAAAAGAGGAAACCCTATTCTAATATTATCATGCTGACGAACACTGCAACAAATGGCTAAGTAATTCTAGATTTGAAGTTATTCCTATATAATGGTCTCTCATCACAAATAACTCTCTCTACAGTTATTTTGCTGTGATTTTTTACACCTGATGAAGGAAGCTTGTGTTGCCTCCGAAACGTCGTGATTTTATTTTATTTATTATTCATGTATTATTATTTTTTTTACCTACGTGGCTTTACCTAAAGAATCAAAGAGTAAATGACTAAGTAAATAGGATGGTTTATTAAGTGCTACATATATAACGTAGGTTGGATTTGAACCCCCCAAGACCTATTGACTGCCTTCTAGCCCGCACCGACGATTATCGCGTTTGCGCGACGTACGGTGCGAAAGAAGTTCAGCATACGTAATTTTATTTGTGGATTAATTTGTAACTGAACGCTGCAAACATTTGTAAGTCCGTGCTCCCAGGCCAGAGGCTTAGCCCCGTTAGCTACGGCACCAGTTCGCGCGCCGGGAGCTCGGTGGAGTATCTCATCACAGGATCCTGAAAAATGTTAGGCTTTTATTCAGCAGTGGATTGATCGTGGTTGTTGATGATGAGGTTGTTGAGTCATCTCGGTGGTGAGATGTTAGCTACCTCTGCCTGGGATACAGGAGGTCTGGTGGGTTCGAGCCCGAACCTGACGCCTGCTGCTGTATATTCTTAGCTCTTTCGGTAAAGTCACGTTGAAGGGAAACAATAAATTAATAAAATAATTGGTTATATATGAAACAATAAAAATTCTCACGACGTTGCGACCATAACACAAACGGTCATCATCGACCATAACACAAACGGTCATTACCTGACAACACAAACGGTCATCACCTGATGATGACCGTTTGTGTTATGGTCGAAACGTCGTGAGAATTTTTAGTGTTTTATATATATTTTATTTTTTTATTGTTTCCCTTCAACGTGACTTTACCGAAAGAGCTAAGAATATGAATTACTGCAGTCACGAAAGCTTTAAATCAAAAGCCTGCTGTATAGTTGGAGTTTGCGTCTCCCTCTCTCGCTCTCTTTTTCCCCGTGGTCGCGTGAATTTTTTTCTCCGGGTCCTCCGGTTTTTCCCTTCACATTTGGAATCAACATCACGCGTTTCGAGAACATTTGGCTGCCCTACATTTCCGCACGATGACGAAGCCACTCCGTTGAGCTATGATTTGTGGCCAGGTTCGCCTTTGAAAAAGAGCTAAACGACTCAGTGGGTCTTACCTGGTAAAATAAAAAGTTTACAAAATCGGTTGTCACATTATTGGGTCTTTCTGTAAAGTCACGTCGATAGGTTCAAAGAAAATAACAAAACATATATTTTTAATTCTCTTTGAACCTATCTACGTGACTTCAAAGTAACAATCAATATATTTCTTTATTTTCTTTGAACCTATCTACGTGACTTTACCGAAAGACCCAAGAATATGAATTCCTGCAGTCACGAAAGCTTTAAGTAAAAAAAAAGAAATCGGTTCATCTTCTTGGTTCTTTCGGTAAAGTCGCGTATAAGAGAAATAATAAAATAATAAAAATAAAACAATAAAATAAAATTCTCACGACGTTTCGGCCACAACACAAGTAGCCTTCCTCAGGTGAAGAAACAGAACTGTCGGAAAGTCCTGTTCTATTTTCATTATTTTATTATTTCCCTTCTACGTGACTTTACCGAAAGAACCAGGAAGATGAATCCATGCAGTCACGAAAGCTTTAAATCGAAAAAAGAAATCGGTTATTTTACCTGTACCTGAAGCCAGGCTCCACCTGGGGGCGCCGCTCCATCATTTCCGAACAATCAGCTGTCATCTCGTCCTCTCTCGCCGCCGAGATCAGCGACGAATCTTTGTAACAGCAACGAACCCTTCACACAACTGTGCGTCCGGATTCTTGACCCGGTAGGCACGCAACGTCGGGGCCGACGTTGCAGGTGTCATTCCTCGCCGTGAGCTGTGTTTTTTTTTTTGCCATCGCTTTTGGCGGCGCCGCCGCCGCTCCTATGGCGTCGTCGATGGGCGCAGAGCGAACGACGTGCGGGTCGTTTCGTTCGCTGCGCTCCACGGTCGCAGGCGCAACTCTCTTTCTGTCGTCCGCGTGCGTAAAAGGTGAGCGCACCCGTCGTGCGCTCAAGCTTTTTTGCGGGGTAAGTGAGAAGAAAGCACAAACGGGGGATGGGGGTGGCGGGTTTCGGTTGGGTGGTGCCCTGCGATGCAATCGCCTCTCACCCAGATCCCGACGAGACGAGCCTCCCAAGTGTTTCGAAGCAATTAATTGCAGGGAATTCTTCGACGAGTGAATGCATTATTGGACAATTGAACACGGGCTATGTTTCTGCACCAGTGTTCTCCAGATGGCTACTTTTACGCTGAAACACTTCCGACAGCACTCGAGCACAGGCTGATTATAATCTAACGCACACTTCATCTTTACGTCAAGAGACGGACTGAAAACAAACATCCCGTGTCTTAAATCGGGTTTATGAAAGACCCGAGAAAGGCACCCGTGCTTATAGAGGGAAGCATAACAAGTAGGCTTAGACGTTTGTGCCGTGGCGTGCGTTACATCATTCACGTTAGTTGGTTTTCTTTGCGGTCACGCGTATCCTATGACCTATGGAAAGAGCCTGAGAATCGGTGAAGCTCTGCTGATACAATCACTGCACCCACGATTATTTAAATCCCTGTAGTCCCACTCACAACGTCGGTGGGGTGCAGGGGGGAGGTGTGGATGGCGGGGGAGAGCGAGGATGGGGAGTCTCGTTTGCCCGTCATCAATGAATGAATGAGTGGTTAGTGATTACGTCACGGGGCACGGTGATTAGACGCCAGAAGTAGAACATTCGCAAATCTCGGACGAGCACTGCCCCTCATCTCCACATTATCCTGACGTGCACTCCGAGCCCCAGCCCTCTCGCCACTCGAGCCAACCAGTCACGACCCAAACCTTGACTATACTCGTGAAATCAGACCGTAGCCTTGCCCATAATCCCAACTACGCCAGGCGACCAGACCCAACCCTAACCCTAACCAAGCGTACACGAGCCATGACCCTATAACCACACGAGCCAACCACCTCCGTGGAACTTTCCCGACCCCTGAGCTGAACCCTATCGCCACCTCCGGGGCTTAGCATGACCGCATTTGCATGTTTTGTTTGCTTTACTCGTTTGATGTCAAAGAGCTTCGTGGTTCCAACCACACCCCGCCACATCGCTTCCTTCCTCCTGCCAGATCCCGTAGCGGCTGCAGAGTCGACATGCGACCTCATCTCATCCCACCCAAGTTTTATACTGAAGATGATGATATAAAATCCCTCCCCCACCCCACCCCACCACGTTAGGTGGTGACAAAGGCTCGGCCGCTGGTGCTGGGTGGTGGTGTCCGCGTGGGAACAAGCGACCTCGGCTGTTTTGTAAGGGGGGGGGGGGGTGGAGGGAGCGAGGCAAGCGGCTGTTCGGACAGCGCGGCCGCTGTCCGTCACTCAGGGGGTGCTGAACGCCGCTGCTAGCGAGCTGCACCCCACGGCCGCTTTCACATCTCCTGCCAAGATTCCGCTAAACTGGAAGGGGGCTAATGGCTGTCATTTGTCTCCACAGTGGCGTTGCTGCGATGTTTATTGTAACAGTGGCGGCCTTCCTGCTGCGTTGGCTTTGACGTGCAAAGTGCTGCGTTAAATACGGCGCCTTATTCATCCCGGTTGCTTCTGGGCTACGCTGCAGGGATGCGAGAACACGAGCGCGTCATTGCTGCTGCTGCTGCTCGTGTTGCGCGGGACTGAACTCCACACGCTGAGACTCTCGCAGTAAGGACGCCGTCATCACGCGGTCTCTTTCCATCATCTGCACCACCACCAGCTGCTGCTGCCTGCCATCGTCGTCGCCGTCGCCGTAGGCAAGCCACGATTCTGCTCCGTTGGCTCCTCGCCCGCTCCGGGAACACGGAGAGGCGGGAGGCGCCGCGGGCCCGGGCCGTGCGGGCCCCGGGTGTGAGCATGCCCGACGAGCGGGCCAAGCGGCCCGACAAGGCGCCCACCTACACGGGCGACAAGAAGGCGAAAGTGGCGGGCAACACGAACCGCAAGTGGGTGCGCCTCGCCACCGTGCTCGTGTACGTGCTCTCCGTGTCCCTCGCCGCCATCATCCTCGCCGTCTACTACTGCCTCATCTGGAGGCCCGTGCACGCCTTGCCCGCTCCCACACAGCCGGAGCGGGCAAGCCTCGCGCCGGCCTCAACGCTTATGGCCTCATCATCCTCCTCCTCCCCTTTCTCATCGTCCTTCTCGCCATCACCACCGCCATCGTCCTCGCTCTTGGACAAACCCGCGACGTCCTCCAAGAGTGGCCACGGCGAGGCGGGAGCACAACCAGGGCTGCAGGGACCGTAGTCGAACCGGGGACGCCGACGTGAGCGGCCAAGAGGAGGCCGGTGGCACACGCCGGAGGACGAGGATGGCGACCGGAGTGCCGCTCGTTGCCGCCACGCGACAGGGGGAGCTGCCGCGGTGGCACCTGCGCCGCTTGACCTGACGGAGCGCTTCGTCGTCACGGGGACGACAAAGCGCTCCGTCATTCGCCCCGCGCGTGAGCCGCGCGTGATCTGCGTACCCCCGTGGGTCGTTTCCACCGTAGTCTGTCCGCTGTTGGATGAAGGCGTTTCCCTAACGCCCCGTCGCCTTCCCTTCACCGTCTCGCCACGCCACGATCGATTTTCACACCAGCACCTGAGCCCATCTCGTTTGGTCCGTCTTCGCGGTGGTCGTCCTCCTCTCGGGGCACGTGTTTTTCACCCTTGGGCTGATATTCCGTCACCAAACTCGTCCATTGACCGTCGTCCCCCTTCTGGCCACGATGGAGTCTTGCCCAAGTTCACCCACTTGCTTAGTTTAACAATCAATATGATGTCTTGAACGTGCGTGTGTTCCATGACCCATATGTTCCCTTGTTTGTGTCTCTCAATGTAATTCCAAGCGTGCAGCTCTCCATGCGTTCTGTGCACCTTCTTGGTTTTTGTTCCATCTTGAATGTCCATGTCAATTTTGTATCATCATATGCCACAACGGGCAGTATTTGCACTGATTGAAGACGTTCCTCTTCACGCAAATTGATATGCTACGTTTCAATTTTTAGTTCTCGTTTTAAAAAGAACTCTGACCTGCCCTGGTTCGCCTCTTTCGTTAACTTGAAACACCTTTGAAAGCTGCAAATCCCACTGTCTTCTTAACAATGATTATATTCTGTTGAAAACATGTGCTATGCATGACCTTTTGTGTTGCTCGTACTTATCTTGTGCCCAACTTCGCGGCGTACTTTTGTAATATTCTGCAATCATTTACTGCAGTGAAATTGTTATACCTTGGTTAAGATGCGTACACGTGTTCGTCAGCACATCTGAGATGGCAAATGCTTTCTCCGTTTTCTTTGCTCCTCTATTGTTCATCCTCGGCGAGACTGCATCCCCTTGCCCCACCGCTCTTCCGATTGCCATTTTGTTGCTTCTTGTACTTGGAGTGCGGCTGCTCGATATTTATAAAGCATTGCGATGACGTGACCACATCTAACCATGCAGGACTTGCTTTGTGAGAGCCTCGATGACCTGCATTAGTTTCCACCGAGTCAACAGCTACACATATTAAATAGTCTTATGCTAGGATCTGATTGATAGCTTGTATGTGTAATCGATGGTAGAAAGAAACCCTTTCCTAAATCCAGCTTACTCACGTGTTTGCTTGACTTTATAAAATGTTCCTTACTTGGTCCACTCTCAGATCACGAGCAGAAACATTTATATTTACCCTTGTAGATTACACAACAACCCACCGTTGACTTCTCGACAACATGTTATTCGTTGTATCGACCCCAGAGTAATGACGGGGCGAGTCAATCCCCAACCAGAATTTGAGCACGTGACCATCGGCGTGCAAGCCAATCAGCTGAACCGGTGAGCCTCCTTGCCAGGTTGTTAAACCATTGACTCGGTGCAAAGTTCAGCTGTCGCCCTTGCGGATGATGATAATGATGATGATGAGAGCCACGTGAATACTGCTCCTCGAGGACGGCGCTTCAAATGCACGACACCAACACACGCATGGTGTCAGATGCAGATCTAGGAGGTTCCAACCCGGGGGTATGGTCCTTAAATCCCAAGCTGTTTAAATAGGGCCCATTATATTTTTTTGACAAAAGCAGTCCATATATTTTCTCTAGTAAATACCAATTTTTTGAACTCAAGGTGGGGTGAAGGGGGAGGGGACGCAGGGGGGAGGGGTTATGCCCCCATCCCCGTGCTCCCCCTAGAATCCGCCACCGGTGGTGTGTTCCACTCATGATGTATGCCAGTGTATTTTATAAATACCATGCAGTTGATTATCGATCATCCGGCTGCTTCCAACATTATCCGACGGTCCGGGGCCGATCCGGCGAAACCGGCAAAAGCGCTCCAAATGCTGTAACTCAGATCCAGCGATCGGCATCGCGTGCGTGACATCAAAAGAAAAGTAGCTACGCTTGATTATAGTATCAAACATTCTCTACAGTACATTATACATTGCATACGCCAACGTAAACAACGCAAATACTGCACTATATACAATGTTCATGACTAATTAACTACAGTAATACAAAAATAGGAAATATAAAACGCAATCCTGCGAAAAGTGCATTGTGTAATTCGGCGTGCAGCGGATCACCGCTCTTAAGGGCTGCATCGGTGCGCCGATCGTCCAACACGTGGCTGTGTTGAAACGAGCGTAGGTACGTACATCACCCCATGCAGTATTCGAGATTTGGAGTAGTAAGTACGCTACGGTAAATACATGAACTTTTTTTACAGAAATGTTGGTCTATTTGCTATGTTTATGCCAATTTCATATAGTAAACAAATTTTAAACACACAAAAAAACCATGCACAACACCTAAAAACGTTTCACGCAAGAATGTGCCAAAATAAGCTATTTTAAATAATGCCAGTATCAAAGTACGAACAACAAGCCAAGGCTGTCTCTGGTGTAGTCCAATCACTTGCGAAGACAATACATATTTTATCAGAGCATATTTTGTTTGCATGTTCACCATAAGTACGTGTGGTTAATGCAGACTCGATTCCTTGCAAAATGTTTCTATTTGGTTTTCGAACATCTTGACATCTGTTTTATTTCCAGAAAGACTAAAACATATTCTTGTTTTTTATATATATATAAAAAAAAACATTTTAGTGATTATCCGCCGTTTTTACAAAGCCGGCGCCACTCCTCGCCCCCCCCCCCACTCCGAAGCCATCGGATAACACTGTCACAAAAAAATGCTCCTGGGTAATAAGTGTTATTTCCTAATTGCTTATGCCTCAACGGTACAGAAAATGGTTATTTATTCCCCACGAACTTCGATTTTGTGACCAGGACAGTGATATTTAGAAATGTAATTATTTTCAATGAGAAAACGTGGTGTGCATTTGTGTCTTTCGTTCACGTAAAGTCCTGGTCACAAAAGCAAAGCTAGTGGGGAATAATAATAACACCGTTTTCTATACTTTTTCGACATAAACAAAGACAAAAAATAACACTTAGGACCCAGGAACAAAAATTGCGTTACGTAGTGTAATCGAGGATCCAATGTACGTACATGACAAGTCATGTACCCCACTGATGTACAAAGCAATGCATAGCGATGTAAATGATACAGCGTGATGAATGAGCAAATCCAATTAGGTAATGGACGTGCGTTGTAGGTGATGGCAGGCACACCGCCCGAACGCCTGACAGCTGATGGAGGCGCTTCTGCAATGCTCACGTTTACACATGGGTTTTGGCCTGACGCGCTCTCTGACACGTTCGTGTGTGCAGTTCGAAACTGAAGGCGCGTTCCGTTCAACGTGCAGCTGCTGCGTTGCTCATCCTGAGCTGCATGCCTTACAAACGTAGCGCCCTTACAATCGACATACAGTTAATGGTATGTACGCATGGGTGTATCAGCAAGCCTAACATTCAAAAGTATTATGTGATGACAGTGCATTTTGTTGAATGTTGTAGTTGCAATTCTCCGTGGAAACGCACTGCACTCACGCCCTGGTTTTGCCTATATGCCCAGCTTGCATAATTTCATCAGCAGCTCTTCGTAACGTGTCGTTCGTGTGGATGGAGACGCGCCACGTTGCTGTCTGGCCATGCGCAGGAGGCAAAGGTTTTGAGAGACAGGTATTGAGTCCACGGGCCGGAGCAGAAAGGTCGCAAAACTTAAGTCGTGCCCATGTATTCCCTCCACGTTTAGAAACATGTGTCTGGAGGATTTGCCTGCTATAAATGTCCACGTGACAAGCCACTTTGGCGAGCTATCGTTTGTGGCCAGTTCGCTTCTTATAAAAGATTGCTTACTAAATAACTCAGTGGGCCCTACCTGCTAAAATAAAAATAGGAGTATTTGCACATCCAATGAGAGCGAATTGTTTGAAAACCCATGCAATTTCACATGGTTATGACATGCTCTAATTCACCATTATTGGCCACCTGAAGTTAAGCCATCCCAGGTGGTACCGAGGCGTGAAATGCCTGGTCTGCAGGCCGCACTTAATTTCGCGCACAGTATTTCAACATTTCACTATCTGCCCCTATAACAGGGGAAGATGTTCTCTGCTTTAACTTACCATTCAGTTCATACAACCATCTCTCTCTCTGTATAAATGAGACCCACACAAGAATCAAGATTTTCGTCAAGGTGCATTTATTCGCTTGATAGTATTCATGTATAAAGTGTCAATATCGTCATATTTCACAACTTTTGGGAGTATGACCGGGCCGTCTTGAGTTGAAAGGTCACCCACTCGGGGTTTCATTGGAAACAACACGAAGAGACGTTGTGAACGTTGTTCCAGATAAAACCTTGTCATATTTTTTTTACTTCAGAGATAGATAAATAATAGCTGCATTTAATATCGAAAGATAAAGATAGGGATTCAACTAAGTACCTAATCTCACGTGGTGTTACACCTTTATAATATTGTTCAGAATTTTTTTTTAAATTTGATTCGTGTCAAGGATGCTGCTCATTATGCAGTAACTTCTTTTGCAATGGTTCTGCTGAATCTATTAATTAGAATGTGTAAGGAAATACTAATAAACTTAAGCAATGAGATTTGACAAAATAACCTGTTGTCTGGAATGTGGGACGTGTGGCACGCGAGGTCACACGACCCTGCAGGTGAGCGGCTCCAGTAAGTCGTGAAAGGTGAGCGAGGTGGGGTTAAAGACAAAACTCCAAAACAAGCATCTGCTGTAGCGACATACCTATTGCTGGATCTCAGCTGTTGGTAATGAGGAAAACATTTTGAATGCATGGTTGAGCGCATCTTTCTGGCAATCCGGTACGTGCCATGGATCAGTGATGTAATTCCAGTAAATGTTGTCACCAAGGCGCTATGA